GTTCTCGAACGAGTAGGCGAGGTCGCGTATCGTCTAGCCCTACCTCCCGAGCTATCGGGCATTCATAATGTTTTTCATGCATCCATGTTACGCAAGTACGTGTGCGACCCCGATCATGTTATCCCGCATACGGATATTCAGGTTCAGCCAGATCTATCGTACGAGGAGCGACCGGTAGCTGTACTAGACCGTCAGGTCCGTCGACTCCGGAAGCGAGATATCCCCCTCGTGCGTATTCAGTGGGATCGCCACGGAGCTACTTGGGAGGAAGAGTCCGACATTCGCGCTCGTTTCCCAGATTTCCAGTTTTGATGTACATATTTCTTTATCCTATGTACATAGTTCATGTATATCAGTCATGTTTTAAATTTCCGAGGACGGAAATTTTGTAAGGAGAGAGGATTGTAATATCCCGATATTTTATCGGTATAAATTACGTATAATTTCGATATAATAATGTTATCGTTTATTATTTTCGGAATTAATTATGTTCAGTCGAGATTACCGAAATTTATTTTCGGCGTACCGTTTACATTCGGAATAATTTTGGTAATTAAGCATTATGTTTAATTAAATAATTAAACATAAAATTAGTGATTAATCATAATTAATCACACCATTTAAGCTTAAAGCCGTGAGTTATAAGGTGAACTAGCCTAAATTTTACTCTAAGGCCGTGCATGTAGATAATTGTAAGTTCAAAGTTTACTCCTTGGTTTCCTAAGTCTTAAGGAGACTCTTTTCCTTCACACCTTAGTCATGACACGTGTTAAGAGGAGGAATAACTAATAGGGATGAGTCATGCTTGAAGTTGCCACTAGAGAACAAGTGTTAAGGCTTTAAAGAGGCCATATCACACGGCCATCATCTTCTCTCTCTCTCTCTCGGCCGTGTATAAATAGGGATGTTTTGATTGAATTTTTCCCCCAACTTTTCCTAAGGAAAAGCAGCACATTATCTCCTCTTACCCATCAGCTTTATATCATCACATTCAGCAACCAAAGTGATAAGAAAATTTCCATCAAAACGCACGGCCAAAGAAGCACAATCGCACGGCAACCGCAAGAGCTTATAATCACGCCTTATTTTTCGAATTCCGTCGAGCAATCAGAAAGGTAATCCCTCCTTCAGCTTATATTCATATTAATAAGGTCATTTCAAAGTCATTGTTCAAGAGATTTTCAGAAATCTTTAAGAAAATTCATGTTGAACTCGGTTAAGGGCATGTTCGTTCGATACCGAGTTAAGTTTCATTTTGTCCAGCAAGTCATGAGCAATTATGTTTCTTTCAGCTTCTATTTATAGTGTAATGTTCAGTCGAGGAAGGTCGGTCGATGAAAGTTAGCTGTATGATCATGATTTGGCTCACGGTGGCGGGTTGCGCACCTCGCGCACGCCCACGTGCCATTAAAAGCGTGATGACATTATCTTTCAGTATGGTCCAATTGCTCTGAACAATTTATGTTTAAAAGTTCATGTTAGGTAAATTTGTAGTCAGTCAATCCAGGTTGGTTGAGATAATTTTCAGATTGGTCGAGGTATTAGCCAAAGGCCGTAGGCCTCGCATGTAGCGAGTGCGCCACGGCCGGGTGTTAGTGCCGGTGAGTAAGTTCATCCAATTTACTTGTAAATTCAGTTCAATGATCATGTGAGGTCAGAACATGTTAATAGAAATCAGTTCGGTCGGTAAAGTTTGCCGGACGGCCGGCAAGGGCC